CAGCCAGCCTCGCACTACCTGGCTCTCTGCCCCACACAGCTAGAGACATCCCAACCACAGCCCAAGCCCCACAGCTGGACACACAGGCGCAAGCACACACACAGCTGGAGACACAGCCACAAGCCACACGCAGCCGCAAGCACACACACAGTCAGAAACACAGCTGCAAGCATATGCACAGCCAGACACAGCCGTAAACACACACACAGACACACACAGCTACAAGCACACACACAGCCAGACACACACAGCTGCAAGCACACACAGCCAAACACACACCCACAAGCACACATACAGTGGACACACAGCCACAAGCAGCCACAGCCAGACACACAGCTGCAAGTACACCCAGCCACAAACACACACAGGCAAACACGCACCACACCGCTGCAAACACAGTGAGGCACACAACAGCCAAGCCAGTGCCCTGAAACATGAGCGAAGCCAGCCCCAGCCCCGGTGCACACGCAGCCCAGCCACATAGAAGGAGCCCCAGCAGAATTGAAAGCCCCAGCAACCCCACCCTGCTGGCCTGGTGGGCGTCTGTCTCTCCCACCCCGGTCCAGCCAGTTTGCTGTAATGGCACAAGAGCCAGTGCAAAGCTCCAGGCTCTGGCCTAGTCCCTGCTTGTGGGGCGTCCTCTGCCAAAGGCCCGTCAGAGCTAGGCTGACCCAGAAGCAGGGAGGCAGTGCAGATCCGGTGCGGGAGAGGAGAGCTGAGGCTAAAACCCACCTGTCCTGGTTTCCAGCCCCCTGCTCTAACCACTAGACCCTGCTCCCCTCGCAGAGCTGGCATCGACCCCAGGAGTCCCAGCTCCCCCTTTCTAGCATTGCCTTTTGCCAGGCCTGCCAATGGGGCAGGCAAGGGAGCAAAGGGGGCAGTTGCCCGGGGTCTGGGGCTTCTAGCTGCTGTCACTGCTATTGTGGTAGCAGCAGGGACTGGAGCTGTGGGCCCTTTAAATCATCGCCGGAGCCCGGTGCCATGCGCTCTGTGTGGCTCTGAGAGCAGGGAATGGAGCTGCGCACCAGGCAGTGCTGAGGGCTAGCTGCCCCCAGCCCACCCCTTGCGGGGGCATGAAGCTGCCCCCTACCTTGTCCAGGGGCCCCGCAGGCTGTTGGCTGCCCTGCATTCTGGCCAGGAAAGGGTTGTTTTCTCCCTAATACAAAAACGCTGAACTAACTCAGCTCAAACCCGGACCATAAAATTGTGCCGGAGGCCGGGACGTTTCACTCTCACAATCACTGTTGTAATGTTTCTCTCACGGGGTTTAACGCCCTCAGACGCAGACTCCTGTGGGTGGAGCGGGCGGGAAGAGCTGCACATAATGCCCCAGAGGGACGGCAAGCCTGGCGATGCAGCCACCTCTGGGCCAGGGCAGCTGGGGAAGAGCTGCCTCGTGGTGCTGCACAGGGATGATTGGACAGGCATAGAGATGCAGCTAGCTCTGGGCCAAGACAGCTGGGCACAGCTGCATATAACACCAGGTGCATATAACACACACTGACACCTGGTGGCAGAGCAGCTGGGCCCAGCCGCCTGGGTGGTGCAGGGTGGGGCCTCAGCCCGGGGAGCAGGGCGGCTGCAGCGGGATGTTCACCTGTTTCCCACTTTGATGTGCCGGGGCTGGGCCCATTGTCTCACCTGTTCTGAATGCAGGAGCTGTGGGGCCCTGTAATTAGCACTGGCCTAACGCCTGCCCGGGACTTGTCTGAGCAGCCCGGCCTGGGGTGCAGGCTGGGTCCTGGTGCCTCCCGCCCCAGACACCCCTGCTGCTGCGTCCCCCTGGAGTCAGGGGCTTGTCCTCTAGACTAGGCCCCCTGGGCACAGCCCCAGCTCTGGGAGGGGGCAGGGTCTAATGGGTAGAATGGGGGGAGTCAGGATGCCTGGGTTCTAATGCCACGGGGGACCCCAGGGAGCTCCAGCTGCCAGGCTGTGCCTCAGCTCCCCATCACAGGACGGGTGGGGACGTCAGCGGGTAAACAGGGGCCTGTGACTCAGTGCTGGCCCAGGCCAGGGCAGCCTGGCAGCTGGCTAGCATAGCGGCTGCAGAACGTGCCGCTGCCCACGTGGGGTAGCAGCAGGACACGGCCCACACCCTGGGGTGGGATCTTTCCGGGGCTGGTCAAGGGGAGGATCCTGAGCCCCCCTTGCTTTCTGCAGCTGGTTCCAAGTGCGGGGGGAGGGGAGAGCAGAGGCTGAGCCAAGGTTCCCAGCTGGGCAGTACCCTAATTAGTGCCCAAAATAGATGAGTGGAAATTGGCAACTGCCACTGGAACCATGCATGTGCAAAGCCACTGGGACGTTTATCAGCCGGTGGGGC